ACTTGTATATTGCATCCAAACGTCTAAGCATCCTAGTTGCAGCATTGCGTGAATCTCCTCAATGTTCTTGTGGTCCTGTGGCTAGGAAGAAAAAAGTAATAAAACCGAAGGAAATTTTTCGAATGTTGTCCTTCTTGCTTCTCTCGAAGCACAACATTCGGCGGCGCAAGCAACTGGTCAATGTATGAAGGAGACGGCCTTTGATAAGGCGTTGCACCCTGTATCCCCGGGATTCTGTAAGCTATAAGCAACCATAGCGTCGAAGTCTGCCAATGAGACGAGGTGAGGGACAGATCTAACCATGATGTGGGAAATGGTTGGGATGAATTTGGATGGCTCGATCGTTATTTGGAACCATTTCATGATTGGTGTGGTAACTTTGAAGTGTGGGTCCAGCAACATCATCTAGTATGGGATATAATGGTTATTGTTGTTGACTCAACATGTTTAAAATATGGCGAAGATGATAATTTGCTGCAGGACTGTGCTGATGATTGGCAATGCTGACTCTTCACTATTAAAAGGATGCAAATCCATTTACATTAGCATTACTTGCATTCAATCTGCCTTTCCTCACCCGATTTTCAGTTGTCAACCTGTTCCCTTCTTCTGCAATAAAGATGTGCACTCAAATGGATGTTGAAGTTCTATTTTCCTACGAGTGTTGGGAATGGCTTAATTTGGTCATTGGTGTCCCTCATTCCAATCCATAAAGTGGTAGTTTTGGTGGTGTTGGTGACAATCAGTTTCATTCTACCCTATGTTGCAGCATTGCTAGCATGGCTCGATTAGTACTTCCTTTAAGAGGGTAAACCAGCGAAAGAAGAAACAAACCTATGAGCAGAGATAAAGTTGAAGAGGCCTCATATCATGAGAAGACCCTTGCTAATTTTCTTTTACAAGAACATGGAGTTTCTGTATTTGATGACTTTGGTTTTGTTCATGGGGATGACCATGGTTCTAGGCGAAAGAATGAACCCATAGCTCCTTGGGGAAAGGTGGTTTCAGGATCATGGCTATTGGACAAACTTATTCTGGAGTAGCTCCTTCTAGTGCAAATAACACTTGAAGGCTTTCCCAGTTTTTTAAGCCTATTCTTGTTTCTCTTGAAAGCTTAGAGATGGTGAAGATATTATTTTGGTCAAAGCTTCAACAGAGATGTGCAAAACTGGGTTTGATTCCAATGAGAACTCTCTTGTAGTTCATATCAAAGCTTGTAATTGCCTCAAAGGGCTCATTTATGGGAAGTAAATTTGTGCACAGTGCAAAAGTTGGAACTTGGTTTTAGCTTGATTACGATGAATTCTCTTCTTATTGTGCATTCAAATGTTGAGATGGAAAAGGATGACATAATGGGTATTAAGAGAATTGGCCACAGAGGTTCAACCATATGTGATGGAGTTTCAGAGGGCAAAAGGATCTTTCTGAAATAGCACTCTAGTTCTATTCTCTGGTGGATTTGGACCACACTTGGGAGAAGACTTCCTTGATGCGAAGTCAATCTTCTTCGATTGGAAGTGATGCTTCTTCTTCTTCAGTGAAGGCATTTGACTTCAAACTCTCAGTCAACAATGTGCTGCCCGCTATATATGCCAAAAGGATGACCATAGAACGTGCATCCCAATTGTTTAGTCTCATGCTTCACAAAAAACAATTGTGTGAGACATAGGGCTTCACAATCGACTAAGGGAGGGTGAAGATGCAACAGCAAAAACTCGAGTCGAATTTTTTTTTCAACCTGGGGAGTATGGTGAAAATTGCATTCGAGATGTTTATTTTTTATTTTTTTATTTTTCTTAAATTACTTTTTAAAGACTTAGGTAGACTTTTTTATCTTTATTTGGGGTTAATTTTTAGGAATTATGGCATTGGGGTTAGAAATGGAATTTTATTTATTATTGTGGGTAAGGGTAGTGATTAGTAATATTTTTTACTTCAAGGATTAATGTGGGGTTCTTGGCTTGTTGGGAATAACTTGAGGGTCACATTGAGCTCCATAAAAGTAGGATTGGATTAGGGAGATGGGTCCTTTATTTGAGGGAATTGATGGTGTATCCTATTTTAAAGGGATTTCTAGAGTGGCGAGTGGACATATGGTGGGGATTCCTAAACGATGGGGATGTTAGAGAGAGGTAAAGAGTAACTCCTACATTATTGGGAGTGATGGGTCTTAGGGGGAGATTCATGGGCGATCACATGAAATGAAGAGAGAGAGAGAGAGAGACAGATAGAGAGATACGTAAAGAGAGACCTTTTCTTTAAGTTTTTTTTTTATTTTGTATTTAAGAGGAGAGACGTCCCAATTAGAGGGGGGACTTTGGTATTCTTATGTAAAGAGGTTTTTTCTAATGAAGAAAAACAGTGTTTCTTCCCATGAATTGATTTACAACCACCTTATTTCCTCCATTATTGTCAAATTTTTGCTTGTTTAAGATCGAGAGAAGGCCGGATTTAATTTCCTAAGCTCCTTTCGCAGCATCGAGGCTCGAGAAGAGGCCCTGGTTGAGGTCATGGAAGCTGGGGTGTGGAACTTGAAAGTGCACACAATATGTGCATACAAATCATACAGTTCATAAGAGTTGGGATAAGGTTGAGAAGCCTGCTTAGGCAAATCACATTACATACACATCTGAGAGTGATGATGTTTTTTTTAATGGAACTCATAATCATCTAGAAGCTGTCAGTGAGTGTTGAACTTTCAAGAGAAGAATATAAAGAAATTTGATTGTGTTGATGTTACCTTTTCTAAAAATACACGTTATTTTTTAGAAGCGATCGCATGCTTCACATAAATTTCTTTTATCCTGCTCTTGAAGAAGTTTCAAAGTTCTCATCTTCTACAGTTACTCTTCCTATTTCTATTGATACTTCGTCACCCTAAGTATCTGACCCTGCTGAACCTATTACTTCTACACATCATGATGTCCCTTAGTAGCAGCCCAAAAAGGTTTTACACGCGAAGAAAATGCAGGATGGACACCCTCCATCAATTCAGCCAACCACTCAATCATCTTTGCCTACAGATCCACTTCTTGCTTCTAACTTGCATTGTGTGTCAGGTGATGATAATGTATCTATTTCCATCCATAAAGGTATAGGGTCTTGTACTCAACATCCCATTGTTCATCTTATTTCCTTTACAGATTTGTCTCCATCCTATCAAAGTTTTGCGTTAGCTATATCATCTACTTATAAGTCTCATTAGGAAACACATTCTTATACTGGGTGGAAGACAGCAATGAAAGAGGAAATGAATGCACTCAACTTGAATGATATATGGAAGCTCACTAAGTTTCCAACTAGCAAAAGGATTGTTGGGTGTCGATAGGTTTATTCAGTAAAATATCAAATTGATAGCACTTAAAAAAAGTATGTAAGTGGGGCGTGGGTGTCTAAGAGGACACTACTTTAGCTCATTTTTCCTCACTTCTTCCTTATGTGACTCTCTCTCCCTCTCTCTCATTTATCTCTCCAATTTTCTCTCTTCCTAGATCTTGATCTTTCTTGTACTTTTTGAATTCCAACATACTACTGTGTTGTATTTTGACTCTCTCAACACTATAACCATCAAGCCAAGTGCCCCAATCCCAGGCCTCAAGCACTATAACACCCATAGCCTACATTTGTTGAGATATGCAAACCTTAAATCTGGCATTTCTAATTAACATTCAAGCATTTTTGCATAACTAGCTTCTCTAAGTATGTTCTCAAGAGTCCAAAACTTGTTGAATTTCCCACGTATGTGTAGCACTGGTATAATCAGATACATAGATTTGAGCAACCATGAGAAGCAATTTGCTGACATTGTCCAATCAAAAGAACTATTGAACTAAACTAGTGCAGGAATGGATATCACTGCAGTCCGAATAGTTATATCTTCCAAAATCAACACAACCTACAAGTGTAAATAGTTGGAACAATGCAAATTGATCAAGACTCACGCATTCTCAAATCTGAAACCGGAAACAGGCTAGAAAACCAGGTCTTGCACCAACCATCAGTTAGAAAAGATAAGGGGAAAAAACTGGGTTATGCGCCTTGCACAGATGCATTAACTCATTATGAGAAGAATCACCAGATAATTAGCATAACAGTGTTAGATGAAGGATTGAATCATGAGATCCTTTGTCCCATACATAGACGTGCCACATAGTATATCAAAGAAACAAATGCGTGGAGGTGGGCATCTGTCCAAGAAAATGGCAGCTGTAAAATTACTTAATGTGAAGCCCACCCAAACTTGGTATGATTCCAAGTCCAATCAACAGTGCGTAATTATCTGGATAGCGATATCAGATTTCATCATGATGGTAACTTTATGTTTTGCAAATTAGATGGATAGCAATATCAGATTTCATGACTAGGTACTAGATACAGAAGAACAGAACGAAATAATAGCATGAGACATACCCTACACCAAACCATAAGCTCCAAGATCATCACCTAGGATACATAAAAGACTGAGAATCTGATGACCCATAATCATCCATTATAGTGTTTAGATATACATGTGTGTTTGAAAAACTAATCTTACAAATACAAGAAAAGTACGTAAGTACGCCCTGATACAATGGACAAAAATTCATACATTAACGTAGACCTTATCAAGCAAATCTACCCAATACCTCCCCATTGTTATACACAAGTAGCGCATATGAGCATGGTAAACTAAATACTTTTTTTTTTTTGTAAGCAAACCAAATGCAGGAAACACTCCAATGCACATAATCATATTTGGCCACATTCACAAAAATGCCCGCATGCACATGCATTTATGAGCATCGTAAACTACATACTTTTTCTTTTTTGTAAGCAAACCAAATGCAGGAAACACTCCAAAGCACATAATCCTATTTGGCCACATTCACAAAAATGCATTTATGCACATGCATAATCAATCAACAAGGATGCAAAAAAGCAGCCATTAATGTATTGAGCACATAGGCATACACCTCTGTGCAATCAAATAAAGGAAATAAACAATGATCTAAAATCATTACCATAAGTTTGATCCTTCCAAAGGTGCAGCACGATCTCCATACCTACCAGGTTCTACCTCCTTGTAAGCCTGTTACCAAAGGAGGAGGTTTCCTCAATGCTCGAACCACAATCTCTGACATCTGAAAATATTATTTATGTACCTCGAGAAATATGCCATCTCAATCTAAAAATGGTTTTCTTTTTTGGCTAACTAATCTAAATATGGTTTTCGACAAGGAACATATTTGACAACATTACTACAAAGAAACACGAATAGAACAGCAAGAAGTTTATGAAGCACATACATCAATAGCTTCATGCATATCCGGTTTCCCTTGGGTTATATTCTCCCCCATTACTTGATATCCTCTGCATGGAATGGCGTGCTTTTCATTAATGCCAGAAGCAAGGAGTAAAGCTCCCAAAATGCACTCAGTGGAAACTCTAATATGAAAATTTGTCAGATGTCAAAAGGACAACCAGACCTGTACCCAGAGGAAGCAGACATCTTGATCTTCAATTTTTCTTCATATGGAAGACCAAAAAACTCATGTGATAAATCTCTAACCCCTTGGACAATATGATCAGGTACGCCATGGCCTTTCTGGTCAGAAAATAAGGAAATATCAGTTTTAATAAACTAAAAAACCTCTGCCATAAAGGTTTTAAATCTATATTTATATAAACTTAGTATAGGCATCATAAATGACAAGAAAAAAATATTTCTTAATCCTTTAAAACTAAAGCCCATAATATCTTAAATTAGAGGCTTTGGACATACTAATCTGCAGCATTTACAGACATTCAGGATCTACAATGGCAATTGGTCGTCTAACAAAGACCAGAGAGAGCTATTTTAGAAACTACTGCTTGACAGCCCCCACGTTACCCCTGACACCCTACCTCCTAGAACATTGAAGTCATAGCAGTAAAAGCCGTTGTACATATTTTCTTCCACTTTTCTCCTGACAATGTAATGACTCATCAAAATGATATAGATTATGCAGACAAGCAAACAAAAAAAAAAACTGGTCATAGAAGACACAATTCAAGCGCTCAACTCCAATCCCACAACTCAATTCTACACATCCCTAAATTGGCCAACTTTTATTTACCTAATTTTTAGACTGAACATTCAAGAATCACAGGCACCACAGCTGTAAACAAGATCTGCAAGCTCTCAGCAAACTCAGCCACAACAGAGGAGAGCAACCTGACATAAAACAGTTAAATGGCCCTAACAGAATCTACCACAACAATGTGTATAGGTTGCATGAGTTCCATAATCTCATACCACTGAGAATAGCCAAAGAGCAATCAAAATGTATCAGTTTCTCCATGGGACCACATATAACATACTATTGTTTCTAAAATATTTGGGAGGAATTGAGAAGAAGGCTTAATCAATAAAAAGAGAGATATGATCAAGTTCAGGTAGCACTCCGCAAGTTTATAATTGGGATGTCGTCCATCATATGTGACTAAACAGGATCAAGAGTAAACTATCCTGAGAAATTATCTTGGTGTCTAATTCGAATTTGTGGGAAATTCGAGCAAATTGTCCTTATAATGTTCATTTTCTCCATCTTTGTTCCACATGATTTGTTCTTCAACAAGACTTGCTTTCCATGATTCTTTTCATGAACCCAGAAGCACCTACCCACATGTAAGCATATGGCTATGGACGAAAAGCTTAATGCACCACATCAAAACAGAACAAGGGACTTGTTTCCTCTTCAAAAATGTAATCAGGAGTAGCTATGTTTATAAGGTGAAACCTCAGTCAGATGAATCTTTAGAATGTCATAAGGCAAGTAGACATGTGGCATTAGGGCACTCCAGAATGGGATCGCTTAGAGACGTTTGCTACTGCAACCAAGAAAAGGGTGTCCCAATGAACATAAAGGATGTGTTCTTTACAGATAACTGCATGCAGAGACACAGAAAACAACATCGCCAAAGAAAAGACATAAAGATTACTGATCCACGAAAAAAAGGAGATACACGTGCTCACCTCCTGGGACAACTCCTTCATATGTCATCTTTGTAAGGCCATTTATGGCCCTCAACAGAGTCCAAAATCAAGGTTCCACTTATTCAAAGACATTGAAGGCAATCATTCTAAGTTTATTTGCCTGACAAATGTCAAGATTGATTTGTTCCGTTCGTCTATGTAGATGAACTTCAGGTATAGCAGATGATTTAACATGATTCTCATCAAATGCCGTTTGCAGTCATCGATTCATATGCATACAATGGGTTAGATGCAGAATTTTTGGTATAGAGACTACATGGTCTCCATGACGTTATTTGCAGCTCAGCAAACAATTTCTCAATGTCCTGGGAAGGGCACATCCTATGAAAAATAAGAGGGCAGATAAACCCTCAAATTAAACATTTAGTTGTTCCCGGAGTAGGATAATCCAACGGATGATCCAATGGAAGAGTGGGTATATCTTATTTATGTCTGTGCCACTTGACCAAACAAAGTGTTGCACATATTGACAGTGTAAGAGTGATAAAAGCTGTGGATTATCCATTTCGTTACTATTAAAAACAGTTGGAACATCATCTCGTGTAGATACCTTAGATAAAGGCAGATTTGCAAAGACCTCTAGTCTAATGGATGAGGAGGCTAATCCAATGGATATTCCAATGGAACGCAGGTACACCTTATTTACGTCTCTGCCACCTGACTTAACAAGTTCATGTTACCCACATTAGACAGTTTACAAGTGACCACATATGCAGGAAAACAGTTGAACATGGAATATGGTTTTGATTATCATCTTGCATTGAGTTGACAGCATAGGTAAATGCCAACTCCACAAGACCTCAATGCATTAGGAGATAGAAGATGGCATGCTATGTTTTTTCAGCTCCTCTTTAGCCAAGAAACATGAGATGTTTCAAAACTATCATATTTAAGTAAAATACGAAGCTCTAGAGTAAGAAACAGGAGATGCTTCAAAACTATCATATTTAGGTAAATACTAAAGCATATCATCTACCATATGAGCTCATACAATTTTGTGATACTCCATGAACTTCTTATTGAGTTGGCATCCTCAAGAGCAGTGTTCTAAAACGAGGATTCTCTGGGTGGATCGGCCCCTCACTACACCGATCTAGATCAGCTAAATTAGCAATTCAGCCAAAAAAAACAGCGAGAAAAAAAATAAGAGAAGAAGTTGTACGAATCCATAGGGAATATGTTTATTTGATGATTTAGAGGTTAAATCATCAAAAACAGTTACATATTTAAGCATGGGAATTTCGGTTGAGCATAGAGATTAGGAACGATTCCCTCAGGGAAATGGGAATCGGCTCTAATCACTCTATTTAGGGCTGACACCCTCACGGAACTGAGAATAGGCCCTAATCTCTCTGTTTAGGGCCGATTCCCTCCTAGCTCCACAAGGGAATCAGCCCAGTCACCCTCCTATCCTGAGCTGGATGGGAGATTCTCGATCTCTATTGGCGATTTTTAAAATATTGCTCAACACCTTTTTTTGAAGATAACACCAACGCCATTCAGATCAGAACAACTCTGTGTTTCATGAACAAGTGATACACATAATACATTGATTACCATGTCATTTATCATCATATTGCTAATGCCATTTATCTTCTCCACATATCCAAGGATATTTAATTAGTCGATGTCCTCAATAAAGGAATGATGAACGAGCACAAGCTTTTGGTTGATGAACAACGATTGGAAGATCTCGTGGAGTATCACCAAATATCAGTTTACGGAGGAGTTTCCACTTTCCATTACAGTGTATGATAGTGATCCTATTGTAGAGGGTGATACTCTGGGTGATCTTTTAATGGTCTAGTCACCATTATACTCATTTATCAATGAGAGTTTTTTTTTCAATCCAGTTACATTGGAGAATGATATTATTAAGAAGCTCCAAAGGAACCACCATTGCAATATGGCCCTGATTAGTCCATCTAGAATCCATTAGAGGTACCCAGCAAACTTTAAACAATCATCTGTCAACTGTTAAGCCTGAGTTCTCGCCGTAGAGCAGCTAGTATGCAGTATATAATCTGTCGATGCTGGTGAAAACTAGGGGTGTAAACAAACTGAGCTTCGACTTGTTAAATACTCTTAGCCATCAGACTAACATAGATATTTTCTTGTCAATCATGTACTATAGACCAGTTGGACAATTTCCTTCACACTAACCAGAATGACTAGGATGATCCATTCAGAGTGATTTAAGCGATTTGGATCAGATCACTATTGATAAATCTCCCAAGTTTTATGTTCAAACAATGACTTTGACATGTATATAAAGTGAAATTGAATGAATAGAAATAAAAAAAGCCTCAAGCCAACTTCTAAAACCATTGGAAAATAATGTAAGATATACATTAGAATGTGGCATTGAAGAAATACAATGAGTATCAAAGCAAAATCATTGAATATAGGAGTTCAGTTACATAGTATAGTTACACTTCATCTAAATCGTAGAAGTGACACAGCCAATCTCCTATGCAAACAAATGCTGCTTTGCCTCCGATAACAAAGATCTATAATTCTAATAAATTACTCTAAATCTAGTGTTAAATGGCAACTCCAAAGCAACATTAGCAATGTATTGTCAAGACATTACAAGCTCTCCTAGAAAGTACACAGAACTCCGATACACTGTCATTTCACTAGTTCAAAAACTGAAATCCAGAGCCTAGCCCATGAAGGACACCTTCCTCCCAATCAATGTTGACCTGTGATTTGGTCTACTGTATGTTAGCATCCTCTTGTTAGACAAGCATTTGATGTCATCATCGAAACTGGTCCTCCCGCAAGCGGTGGCAACTCATCTGGATATAAAAACAACGCGTTTCATCCGCATTATTTCAAAGCGTTCGTAATCACTAACTCATTAAAATGACTCCTTAAAGGCTTCCTGAATAGAGTCGATCACATCGATGACTCTGCTAACCAGACGGATATATGCAAAACAGCACTATACCAATTTCATATTGTATCTTAGAATCAAAACTGAAGCAATTGTCATTAAAGAATGCATTCAGTCTGGTACTTATCAAACTTCATTCCCATCAGTGTAAAATCACATTTTGCATAAAACCACATTGAACTGTTTCATAGGAGCTCCTCAATTCAAAAATTCAGGAATGAAGAGTATGTTGAGCTGAAGATTTATTCACTGGAAAAGACTTTATAACATTGCTAAAGACATCAAACAATCGAGAACTCTCCTGCCTAAGACACTTGGCCCATTAGGCAAGCCCATTATATATATTATATCTAATATATATAATATAATATATATATTATGCATTATATATTATATATTATATATTATATATTATATATTATATATTATATATTATATTATATTATATTATATTATATTATATTATATATAATATAAATCAATGGTACATACCCACAATGAGACCAATAATTCCCATATCGTTTCTCACTACTTCTATCTATGTCCTTTTGAGTCTTTTCCCTTGTCCCT